ACGCTAGAGGTAACCATGTATAATTGGACTGCTAATATTGAGGGGTCCACTGTATTTTAGAGGCTCAGAATTGTCAGAAGAGGTGGAGGGGTATTCATGTATGTGAACGATCTAAAAGTGAATTTGAGAAATGATACCCCAACGAGAACTGTTATGATGCAGAGTCATTATGGCTGGAGCTCCATACGAGTGCAACACATAGTAAATTACTTGTGGGAGTATATTATAGGCCATCTAACATAAAGGGTGAGGAAGAGTCTCAGCTCCTTTCACAGGCTGAAATGGCTGGGAATCAGAGCAATGTCATTTTTATGGGAGAATTTTAATTATCCTGATATTGATTCGTTAAATGGAACTGCACACTCATCAAAGGCTTGTCATTTCTTAAATGTGTGGAAAGATGGTGAGCGAGCGCTATCTAAAATTTCCAAAAATAGCTGCTAGAACACCAAAAAGGCAACCAAGAACAAACCTTACAATAATGTACATATAAAAAGGTGCAGCGCTAGATACAGGTGAAACTCGAAAAATTAGAATATCGTGCAAAAGTTCATTTATTTCAGTAATGCAACTTAAAAGGTGAAACTAATATATGAGATAGACTCATTGCATGCAAAGCAAGATAGTTGAAGCTGTGATTTGTCATAATTGTGATGATTATGGCTTACAGCTCATGAAAACCCCAAATTCACAATCTCAGAAAATTAGAATATTACATGCAATCAATAAAACAAGGATTGTACATAGAACAATATCGGACCTCTGAAAAGTATAAGCATACATATGTACTCAGTACTTGGTTTGGTCCCCTTTTGCAGCAATTACTGCCTTAATGCGGCATGGCATGGAAGCTATCAGCCTTTGGCACTGCTGAGGTGTTATGGAAGACCAGGATGCTTCAATAGCGGCCTTCAGCTCTTCTGCATTGTTCGGTCTCATGTCTCTCATCTTTCTCTTGGCAATGCCCCATAGATTCTCTATGGGGTTCAGGTCAGGCGAGTTTCCTGGCCAATCAAGCACAATAATCCCACGGTCATTGAACCAGGTTTTGGTGCTTTTGGCAGGGTGGGCAGGTACCAGGTCCTGCTGGAAAATGAAGTCAGCATCCCCATAAAGCTTGTCTGCGGAAGGAAGCATGAAGTGCTCCAAAATCTCCTGGTAGACGGTTGCGTTGACCCTGGACTTAATGAAGCACAGTGGACCAACACCAGCAGATGACATGGCTCCCCAAATCAACACAGACTGTGGAAACTTCACACTGGACTTCAAGCATCTTGCAGTGTGTGCCTCTCCATTCTTCCTCCATACTCTGGGTCCTTGGTTTCCAAATGAGATGCAAAAGTTGCTCTCATCAGAAAAGAGGACTTTGGACCACTGAGCAACAGACCAGGTCTGTTTTTCTTTAGCCCAGGTAAGACGCTTCTGACGTTGTTTGTTGTTCAGGAGCGGCTTGACAAGAGGAATACGACATTTGAGGTCCGTGTGTGTGGTGGCTCTTGATGCACTGATTCCAGCCTCAGCCCACTCCTTGTGAAAGTCCCCAACACTTTTGAATGGCCTTTTCCTGACAATCCTCTCCAGGCTGCGGTCATTCCTGCTGCTTGTGCACCTTTTTCTTCCACACTTTTCCCTTTCACATAACTTTCTATGAATGTGCTTTGATACAGCACTTTGGGAACATCCAACTTCTTTTGCAATTACCTTTTGAGGCTTTCCCTCCTTATGGAGGGTGTCAATGATGGTTTTCTGCACAACTGTCAGGTCAGCAGTCTTTCCCATGATTGTGATTCCTACTGAACCAGACTGAGAGACCATTTAAAGGTTCAGGAACCCTTTACAGGTGTTATGGCTTAATTAGCTGATTAGAGTGGGACACTTTGAGCCTAGAATATTGCACCTTTTCACAATATTCTAATTTTCTGAGATTGGGGATTTGTGGTTTTCATGAGCTGTAAGCCATAATCATCACAATTATGACAAATCATGGCTTGAACTATCTTGCTTTGCATGTAATGAGTCTATCTCATATATTAGTTTCACCTTTTAAGTTGCATTACTGAAATAAATTAACTTTTGCACGATATTCTAATTTTTCAAGTTTCACCTGTATAACTAAAGAACTGAACATAGTAAAACAGTGTATTGAATAAACATAAAATGATTAAAACTATGAAATCAAGTCCAAAATCATATGTCACACTGCGGTGAAATAGGTGAATAAAATGTCCCAAAATAATGAAAGCCCACGTGGGGATCCGATAGATCCTATTGAGTGCGTGGGAGGGAATCCAGTGTGCCACACAGTGGATAGGGATATAAAGAATGCGCACTCACCAGAAGTGCGTCAAAATTGCGCATATGAGATTATCCTGTCTCATCAGGTAGTGGTCTTCTGCTGCCAGGGTCAGGGTCAAACATCATCCAATCTCGTCTAGGGTGAAGTACTCCGAATTGCCTTACTGTGTATCACCATCTGGGGTCCCTGTCCCTCAGTCTTTGCCGATCAGCTTAGAACCACACCGCTGGGCTGTGGTTCTATCTGATCGGCGGAGACTGAGGGACAGGGACCCCAGACGGTGATACACAGTAAGGCAATTGGGAGACGGTGATACACACGGTGATACACAGTAGGCAATTCGGAGTACCGCGGGGCTGTGGTTCTAGCTGATCGGCGGAGACTGAGGGACAGGGACCCCAGATGGTGATACACAGTAAGGCAATTCGGGAGTACCTGTCCCTAGACGAAATTGGATGGTGTGTGACCCTGACCCTGACAGAAGCTGACCATTACCTGATGAGACAGGATAATCTCATATGCGCAATTTTGACGCACTTCTGGTGAGTGCGCATTCTTTATATCCCTATCCACTGTGTGGCACACTGGATTCCCTCCCACGCACTCAATAGGATCTATCGGATCCCCACGTGGGCTTTCATTATTTTGGGACATTTTATTCACCTATTTCACCGCAGTGTGACATATGATTTTGGACTTGATTTCATAGTTTTAATCATTTTATGTTCATGTAATACACTGTTTTACTATGTTCAGTTCTTCAGTTATATCTAGTGCTGCACCTTTTTTATATGTACATATCTTAAATGCATTGCAATTTCATAGAGCAAATAATGTAAGCCGCAAAAAAAGAGAAATGCTATATTGGATAGTGGTTAAGTGGTTAGTACTTCTGCTTAGCAGCACTAGGGTCGTTGGGTCAAATCCAAACCATGACACTAACTGCTGCATGTTCTCCCTGTGCCTGCGTGGCTTTCCTCTGTGTACTCTGGTTTCCTCCCACAATCCAAAGACGTGCTGGTAGGTTAACCTTCCTGGAAGTATTCCCGAGTGTAGCTCAGGGTAATGTTTCAGCACCACAAGCGGTAACCCCGAGCTACACTCGGGAACACCTTGCAGCGCTGCACCGGGATCTCTTCTGCACTTAGCTTGTTCTGTGCTCCCGCGATGTCCCTCCTGCAGTGTCCCCAGCAATGTCCTCCGGCCGATGCCGGCATCTGTCTTCTGGGTTCCATTTCCTGCGACATCAGGACGTACGGGGATGCAACGGCGGGAAATTTAAAAATGTGAAAAAGTGACATTCACTAAATACACTAAAATCACATATTAAAACATTACTGTATCAAAGCATTTCTCATACATTTTATCCCTAGTGCTTTGTCCTGGGCCCTGCCTGCATTTTTACCATTCTTTCTGCCTGGAAACTGAGAAACGTCCATGGAGTCCAAAAAGTGTCCCTTTAGGTCAAAATCGGTTTTAGACCAGCTAGAGAACAGCGATAGTAAATTAGAACCACTTGCAGAATTGAGTGATAATAATTCATGGGGAAATTCGGCATCAGACACTGAAAACGATTTTGCAATTTTACTCTTGGCGCTATATTTCAAATTTCAGTGTTTTTGGTTTGATTATATTATTGAATTAAATGTATTATTATATATTTTTTAGGATTATTTAATAAATTATAATTTATGATTTTTTTATGATTATTTATTAAATTATAATTTATGATTTCGTGTTTCAAATTTTAACATACCCAGGATGTTTACTAGACTCTTGTTCAGACAGATTTAAATGAGTTATTCCTAAAAATTACAGGCCTATAATAAAAAAAATACATATTTCCATGCAAAAAAAATGTACCGCTTTGAGCACAGAAATACAGAAATACTGACATAATCAGACCACTAGGGAGGTTAATTGGTTCCTGTCTAAATTGACCCTAGTGTATGTATGAGGCTAGGTTCACACTAATGCTGTACAGTACATTGCATGTGATTTGCGCAGGAACCACACACATTCCTGTGCAAATCATATGCGAATTCTGTGCGGTGCGATTTGAGCCATACATTATGCATGGCTCAAATCGCACCGCATCTGCACCAAAGATGTGCAGGACCCTTTACCCTTTTTTGGGCCTGCACTAGAATTGGATTGCATGGGTATTCACACCTATGGGATCTGATTCTGCACATCGCATCGTTTGCGGACCGATTTTGGGGTGTGTTGTTAACTTAATTTACACACCCGCTGCGGTTCGCATTAACAGGGTGCGATGCTGATGCAGTGCTGAATTCGCACAGAAAACGTTGCGAATTCCTCACCACATCAGTGTGAACCAAGGCTGAATGTAAGGTAGGGACCTTAGATTGTAAGCTCCTTGAGGGCAGGGACTGATCTGAATGTACAATATATATCTAAAGCACTGCGTAAATTCAGGGTGCTATATAAGTGCCTATAATAAATAAATGCTGGATCTATTAATTTAAAACATTATATATTTCATTACAGATGTGCAATGTAGAGACAACGTAGATGATAGTAATCATGGTATAAGCACATTTTCGATAAGTTACAGGAAGGTGAAACAACTATGAAAAGATCTCTAAATTTCAAAAATATCTAACTCCAGTAAGTTGTGATCCTTACTGCACAACAATCAAGGGGACCAAATATTTGCAACAAAGGGCAAGTGGGAGTGTTTTAAAAATGAGTAAAACAAGTGCCAATAGTCTTTGTGTTCCATTAGATAACAAACAAAAGAACACAACTGAAACCTATGTGGCTGAATTCTAGAGTGAAACAAAACAGGCCTTTAAAATGTAGAAAGTGGAACAATATCCAGATTTGCAAGAAATACAAATGGAAATGCAAGAGAGCAAGAAATTGGATAGTGGAAGTGCAGTGGAGAGTTTATTTAGGTTTTTCTGAAGCATTTAATACTGTACCTTAAAGATGTTTAATCTATAAATTAAAATTGGTTGGAGTTGATGTAATTGTATGTACATGCATAGAAAACTGGTTACATGTAGTGATAAATGACTCTGTCTTGGGCCAATGTTGTTCAGTTTATTAACGATAAAGAGAATAGAATAAAGAGCACAGTTTCACTGTTAGCTGATGATTACACATTGTTTCTGGAAATAAATCCGCCACAGGATGTAGCATCATTACAGAAAGGCCTTGACAAAATAGAGTGGTGGGCAGCTACATTCAATATTGAGAAAGGTAAAGTTATGCACTTGGTTGGCAAAATACATATGCAAAGTATACATTAGGAGGGGCTTCCCTGGGAGAAGCAGTGATGAAAAAAGGATCTGGTAATGCTTGTAGAACACTGACTTAGCTATAATATCAAATGCCAAGTAGCTGCTAAGAAAGCTAGCAAAATACTGTCATGCACAAAAAAGAACATACATTCCAGAGTGGAATCAATAGTTCAACCCTTTTATAAAACACGAGTCCAGCAAATGGCAAAAAAATAATAAGTGGGATGGAGGACCTCAGCTATGAGGATTAATTACATAGAATAGAATAATTACATAGAATTCACTCTGGAGAAGAGGCACTTCAGAGGGGATATGATTGCAATGTACAAAGTTAAATTTTAGATTGCATAAAGGATTCTTTACTGTTGAAGCAGTAAAAATGTGAACTCCCTCCCCCAGGATGTATTCCTCAGGAATCAGAATATGCAGGGCTGTGGGAATTGTTACAGAATAAAACATACACTCATATAAGTGAACCTTATAAACTATGTAGCAATGTTGACATTTCTGGACTTTCTATGAAAAAATGTATGATGTACTATTGTATTTAAATTATAATGGTGAACTATAATATTGAAAAAATAGAAGGTAATCATTATACAGTTTGGAAGCTCTAGCACATTTTTTTGTGCTTAGACAATAGCCCGGCAAGATATATAATTTGTTACAGAATCTATCTATCTATCTATCTATCTATCTATCTATCTATCTATATTATATAGATTGTCATGTCTGCTGCCTTACAGCAGTTCTGCAACGACATAGCGGTGATTGTAAAGGCTGCTTTTTCATTAAACAAAAATTCCAAAAAAATAATGGTAAAAGCAATACTTGGCTTGCTACTGATATCTAGCAAGCATTGTGGCTGTGTTAAAATCAGAAACTTGATTCAATTTATCCACAAGACCAAGGCTTTTCTGACACTTTTTGTAAAAATCAGTATTTTTTTTAGAAAAATTCCTTAGAACCCCAAAACATTATATATTTTTTTTAAAGCATCTTAAAGAATAAAATGGTGGGTGTTGCAATTGTTATGTTCCACAGTATTTGCGTAGTGGTTTTTCAAACACAATTTTGTTTGGAAAAAATACACTTTTTTGAATTTTAATGCGCACAAACACAATATAATACCCATTTGTTTGGTAAAATATACCAACCATTGATACCAAACATTGCGAACGCCCATGCAAAGGCACAAAAAATGTAAATGTTATTATCCATAGATAACGCTTTAAAAGCCTTGACCAGGTTACCACTTTAGATTTACACAGGAGGTCTGGAGCTCCTACAGGAGCTGAGGGTACTGCAATCCTGGCCAGTTCCAGCCTATAGGAACACTGCAAAGAGGTGGCAAAATAACATAAGGACTGCACAGAATATATGGAACTGGCTGATATGAAGGTATAGAGAAAGCCTGACCTTATCAGTGTGCTGCTTTATTTTAAGGGTTCATGTACATGGGACAGTTGGAAAACTCTTTTGAACGATGGAAACTGACTGCTGGAAAACATAGGCTAAAAAAAAGTCTGTTTAGATAACATCAGGAGATCTGCCAAAATGTCCAGAATGCACTGAAAAACTGTAAAAAAATAACTATTTCAGACATTTTGAGAGAAATAGAGAGAGCAGATGCAGAGAGAGCAGTATGAGTTGAGATTACCTGTCTTTTCTGGTTGTATTCACTATGGATCCCATCAGGAGCATAATGCAGCACTTTCTACCATTTTTTCCTTCATGCAAAACCTGGAACTGACTGTGTGGTGTGCTAGGTCCATTTGAATATATGGAAAATGCTTTGCATGCATTTCTGATGATGAAAAAAGGCTCTGGAGAGCATTTGGATATGGAACAGTTAAAAAACGCTTCTAAACGCAAACACTTCTAAACGCAGTTAGCCACGTTAACACGCATTACAAGCATTTGGAGTTTGAAATGCTGATAAAATCTACACCTGAACGCAAGTTTGGTGCGTTCAAAAAAAGCGACTGTAAACTCAACTGCCTGTAAACGACTGTAAACGACATAGTGTACATGGACACATAGGAAAACATTAGGGAGAATTCAGGGGCTGCTGAAAAAAAACACAGAAAAGCTCCTGAACGTCATTTTATCAGCTGCAGTGTACATGAACCCTACTTGTATAATGGCGGTAGTGGTGGTTCTTGACCAGGCTTTATTGCATAAACTTCAGTAGAGAAAAGTGAGGTCACATCCTGGCAGTGTTCTCTGAAGGGATTTCTGGAATAGAAAAATGACAACAAAATATCCAGTGAGAATTTTAAAACCTACATATTTAGAATGCAATTTTAGGTGTTTGTCCCCATTGCCATTTTAAGGAATCCTGGTTTAACCACATGCCGCCCAGCCAATGTAGAAATACTGCGGCAGGGCAGCATGGATGGGCAAAACCACGTTTTAAAACGCGTGGTTTTAAAACAGGAAGGGGGGCACGCACGAGGCGGCTATGTTGCAGCCCTACCTGTCCCGCTGATCACGGCCGCGGATGTCAGTCGCCGGGTCACAGCCGGTCGTTACCGACTATGTCTCAGCGATTAGCTGATCAGTGACAGAGAACACAGCTGCAGTAGCTGTGCTTTCTTTCAGTTCCCTGATAGCTCCTGACAGGCTGATCAGGAGAGAAGAGTTTATCTGTCCTGATCAGCAGTGTTCCCTGCAGTACACACCCCCGCCCCCTAGTAAAACACTCCCCTCACATAGTTAACCCTTTCACTGAATAATAAAGTTAACCCCTTCCTCCCCAGTGCCATTAGTACAGTGTCAGTGTTTTTTTTTTTTTTTCCACTGATCACTGTATTGGTGTCACTGGGGATGTCATGACCCCAAGTCAGTTCCCCCCCCAGTGTCAGAATGTCCGCCGCAGTCCCGCCATAAGTCGCTGATCGCCGCCATAAGTCGCTGATCGCCGCCATTATTAGTATAAAAAAAAAATTTAAATCCCAGTATCTTTCCCGCCATTTGTAAACGCTATAACTTTCACGTAAAACAATTAATTTACACGTATTGGGGTTTTTTGTAGCAAAAACATGTCGCAGAATGCATTTTGGCAGAAATTTATGACTAAATTTTATTTTTCAATTTTTTTTTTACTGGACATGTTTTATAGCAAAAAGTCCAAAATATTGTTTTTTTTCCTCAAAATTGTCAGACTTTTTTTTTATAGCGCAAAAAATAAAAAACGCACAGGCAATCAAATACCACCGAAAGAAAGCTCAATTTGTGTGGGGAAAAAAAAGGATGTAAATTTCATTTATGTACCATATTGCATGACCGCGCAATTGTCTGTTAAACTAGCGCAGCGCTGTATAGCAAAAAAAATGGCGTAAATTGCAGTATCTATACCAGGGGTGGGCAAACTTTTTGACTTGAGGGCCGCAATGGGTTCATATATTGGACCCGGGGGCCGGACCAAGAGTAGATGAATGATGTGTATGTGTCATCCATAGTAAGTATAGTAATATTCCCCCATAGTAAGTATAGTAATTCATCCCCCATAGTAATTCATCCCCCATAGTAATTCATCCCCCATATAGTAATTCATCCCCCATATAGTAATTCATCCCCCATAGTAATTCATCCCCCATATAGTAATTCGTCCCCCATATAGTAATTCGTCCCCCATATAGCAATTCATCCCCCATAGTAATTCATCCCCCATATAGTAATTCATCCCCCATATAGTAATTCATCCCCCATAGTAATTCATCCCCCATATAGTAATTCATCCCCCATAGTAATTCATCCCCCATAGTAATTCATCCCCCATATAGTAATTCATCCCCCATATTAATTCATCCCCCATATAGTAATTCATCCCCCATATAGTAATTAATCCCCCATAGTAATTCATCCCCCATATAGTAATTAATCCCCCATAGTAATTCATCCCCCATATAGTAATTCATCCCCCATAGTAATTCATCCCCCATAGTAATTCATCCCCCATAGTAATTCATCCCCCATAGTAATTAATCCCCCATATAGTAATTCATCCCCCATAGTAATTAATCCCCCATATAGTAATTCATCCCCCATATAGTAATTCATCCCCCATATAGTAATTCATCCCCCATAGTAAATCTCAGGGTAAGTGAGCGCTTAAAATTAGATAATAAAAATGAATGAATAAAATTGAATAAAATGAGACAATAGCAGCTGAACACCAAAAAAGTGTCATCCATAGTAAGTATAGTAATATTCCCCCATAGTAAGCATAGTAATTAATCCCCCATAGTAATTCATCCCCCATATAGTAATTCATCCCCCATATAGTAATTCATCCCCCCTATAGTAATTCATTCCCCATATTAATTCATCCCCCATATTAAGTCCCCAAGTCCCCCCTGTGTCAATTCACTTACCTTTGCTCCGCGCGTTCCTCTTGTTCCTCTTGTTCCCGCGCCGTTCGGTGTAGCATGAAAATCTGTCTCCTATGAGGATCTGTCCCCCTCGACGTATCTGCGCATGTGCCAGTTTCAGGCATTAGCAGCCGATCGGCGATCTCCGGCACATGCGCAGATACGTCG